AGGGGAAGACCTAGGACACGCTGGAGCGACTACGTCGCTCGGCTGGCCTGGGAACGCCTTGGGGTCCCCCCAGAAGAGCTAGAGGAAGTGTCGAGGGAGAGGGAAGTCTGGGTGTCCCTGCTCAGACTGTTGCCCCCGCGACCCGGCCCCGGATAAGCGGTTGAAGATGGATGGATGGATGGATTTATGTTTATTTATTTGACATTGTCATTCCATGGCTCTCATTCGTCTTCAAACTGATTTTTTTTTTCTTTTCAACCAATCCGAGCGGTCGTTAGGCAACATATACAACCAACAAAGAAGTCAGTAAAATCAGGAACGTGATGAACAAACCGTCAGGCCCTTGTTTGATTTGTTTGACTTTACCGTTTGTCTCCATATGTGGCGCTGTATTTCCACATTGTTGTTGTTTTAATGGACGTCATCGTGGTCAAAACCTTGTTCTTATTCTGGGCACAAGCTCCAGACTGGAGAACTTTGTCTCCCTTCTCTGCGACTGCCCACGGAGAACGAGGACTTTGTGTGAAACTCTGGTGGGAGACAGCAATCCCATGTCTTTAAAAAAAAAATCAATGGTGTGATTGATGGTGAGGCCGCGTGCAGCTGCACCGACAAACACTGCAGAACTGAGTCCAGTGTGTTAAGTGAAAAAGATGGGGAACGGGCAAAGGCACCTTTAAAACAAAATGGGCGGCGATCGCAATCAAAACATGCAAGACATATATGTCAATATATGTATATGTTATATATATACAGTAGTCTCTCGCTATTTCGCGGTTCACCTTTTGCGGATTCACAACTTTGCGGGCTTTTTAAACTGTATATATAAAATATACTGTATCCCGGATGTGGATCTGCGAAAGATGTCACAGGAATGGGACGACGATACGGTTCGATCGTTCCAATTTTGCAACAAAATCGACGACGTCGTGACTTCCTACGAGCTAGTCTTCGACTGGAAAAAGAAGCAGCGGAAGCAACTGCCGATCGCAGTGTTCGGCAGCCTCGCGACAAAAGAGCCGGTTCCTGCTACTACTACGGATACACCTTCGAAAAAACAACGTGAAAGAGGTGTCCCAAGAAATGGCACCACCCTCTGGAGAGACGTAAAAGTCGTCATCACCTTCTTCGTCATCATTTTACTGCGCATACATATGGTGTCACTACTTCGCGGAAATTCATTTCTCGTGGCAGGGTATATACCTACACGTATATATGTGTATATATACTCATATATATGTGTATGTATTTATATACATATGTATAAGAATGAGAGCATCAAACCACATGTTCCATTTAAGCTCATGATGTTTGATGGTAGTGAACTAAATACGGGGATGTTTTAGGTTCTGGCCCAGACTTTACAGAACCTTCGGCCCGTTTTCTCTGTGCGTATCATATACAGGACTCCAGACTCCGGAGACTACATCGGAAGAAATGCCTTGAGTGCATCATTTATTATTTATGTTGGATAATCTTGCTCTTTGTACGTGTGGGGGGGTTGTGTACAGAGTACTGTATAAACGACGGAGGAATTATAGCTCTTTCTGCCCTCGTAACCAGAACAAGCCGCGGCCGATCTGCAGCTGTTCCTCACTGTGTGTGTGTGTGTGTGTGTGTGTGTGTGTGTGTGCATATTTTTAAGCTAACACTTGTCAAAGCTGTTGGAGGGATGAGTCTCAAAATGTTGAAAAATCAGACAGGATTTAAAAATATACCATGTTTCAAGTTGGTGCAATTATTAGAAGTATTTGCAAAACTGTAATCAAATATTGCAATATATTAGCAAAATATTGGCTATGATGTAAATACACTAGTCTAACAGGGATATTAGTAAAACAATATTAACATTTAAACTACTAATAAAAATGGTGAGAATAAAAACAGTAACTTAACGGCAGTAATCGTAGCTAAAATATATAAAAATATATTGTATATATTTGTTTAATTTTTTTGTACAATATATTGCATATTTATTACAATATATTAAAATAGAACAGCTATAATATTGATATAAATACAAAACTGTAAATTAATCTAATATACATTAAATATAGTATAAATATGAATAAATGTATTCAATATAAATATTAAAAATATAAACCGAAATATATAAGCTGCTGATTTAAAGAAATAAATCTAGAAGCTAAAAATATATTGTGGCCTTATCATAAATAAATATATTGCGTATAATAATATATTTTTTGTGATGTTCCAAATACGCACAAAAGACAATTAAGATCGAGGACAGGAAATCGAGCTGATGAACGAGTCAGTCCGTCGACTCTGGTGTCGAGGAAAAGTTTCACAGCAGCGTAGCGTCGTTAGCATCCATTAGCAGTCACCGCCTGCGTCTGGACGCACGCTCTGTGTCGTACACTTGGCTGGACGGCATCATTTAACTTGAAATGAGAATTCACTCTTAGTTTGACTGTCTCTGTGTTTCATTAGTTTCTCAGACTTCAGCAGCAGCAGCAGCAACAGCAGCAGCAACAGCAGCAGCAGCAGCAGCTCCTCACTGGCACTCGCTCAGTCTCCTCAGCTGAGCTGCAGCAGCACTAATGAGCAAGGAGTGCTGCCATATGTGTCTGAATAATTTACAATGTTTCCAGGAAGACGTGAGAATCCCAGAGTCTGTTGGTGTAGCCAGAGAGGAAGAGAGAGAGAGAGAGGGAGAGAGAGAGAGAGAGAGAAAACCTGTTTGACCTCATTGACAAACCTTTGTGTTAGATGTTAGAGGAATGTGTTGCTGTTGAATGAAAGTTAGCTGCTAACTGCTAACACATCCACACACACAGTTGTTGCATTGTTGGGCCAAACTCAGGTTTTATCTGGACCACAATTGGCCCTCAGGCCACTGTTTGAATAGACTGTATTCCATCCAGGTGGGGTTTCCTGACCAGGGCAGTTTTTCAGGTGTGGATTTATAATTTATCAACGTGCCGTCACAGGTGGCTAGGCTGCCTCGCCGTAGAGCCAGAGGATCGCTGTCCACCGGTTTAAACCCCGTGTTTCCTGTATAGATGTGTCCGTGTTCTGGTCACATGACGGGGAGTTAACCTGCAGGGAGATCAGGTGATCCTCGAGGGAGGGATAACCACAGCAAAGTCCTTCATTCATACACGGTTAGCGTTAGCGATAATGGACCACGTACTGTACACACGGTAACTAACACGCTGAAAGGCACGTGTTAGCTAACACGTGGCGTCACTTCAGCTCAAACACTGCCCGAACGCTGCCCTCTTCCACGTGCCTATTAAAGAAGCAGCATCGCCAGTGGGCTCGTTGGCAGGGAACTGTGCGACACCTTTAGCCTCCCACGGTGTCTAATTTAGCCCTCGACATGATACGAGACCCCGAGGAGCGACGTAATCCTATCTCTGTCCTTCCTGCTTAGCAGGAACTGTGAATGCCTTGATCAGGGCCCAAAAGGTTGGGTTTTTTTTCTCCCCTCAGAGCTACAACAGATGGCCCCAAGATGAGCCCCCCCCGCCCCCCCACAACATCACTACCTCTCACAGCTTCTCTTTGTTAGCCTGGCTCTTATAGTTTTTTTTTTCTTTTCTTAAAAACCCACTTTTCCAGCCTGGTGTCACTCACAGCCACCCTGTTAGATGGTCTTGTCACAGACAGAACAATGAGCGCAGCAGGAGACTGAGGGGGTGTGTGTGCGG